AAATTTTTTAATTTTTTTATTTTAATAAATATAATATTAAAATATTTAAAATTAATTTAAATGAATGGTATGGATCAATTTAACTTGAAACGGAGTAGTTATAATTGCTCCTGTCCCTAATCAACATTCGAATGAGCGTTGAATGCGGATGCAAATATTCGTATGTCCCCGTTCACGAACTTGAATCCTTCTTTCATTATGTGTGAAGAGTATTTATTGAAGAAGAAGCATAGAAATTTATAGTTGACTTAAGATCCATCAAATTCACGCACCTCTCGTCTCTCCAAATCCTTTACACTATTCAATGTATTTAATTAATGACTGGCAGTGTTTACCCTAGAGAACTACACCATTGTTCTTGATGCTCTCTCTATCACAAATTATAAGATACTATTAAAAAAGATTTAATATTTAAAATATAAAACACTTTAATAAATATAAGGTTTCAATAATAATATTTTTTCATTGGCATTCTTCCCATTATCTTCTTTCTTTTTAATATTCTCTCACAAATGGAATATTAAATGAAAGTTATTTTTAAAAATTTATATTTTTATTTTGAAAAAATAAGTTATAAAATGAATTTAATAAACTTTATTAATATATATAATTTGAATAAAAATATTCTATAAATTGAAATGGAGCGGGTATAAGACATAGTTAGTTAATCACACTTAATAAATTAGTTAATTTATCCGGACTAGCTGGGTTAACTAAAGAACCAATCACCTGCCAGTCCGATCATTTAAGTAAACGGGCCATTTTTTAAACCGGGATAACCCGATTGTAACAAGGAAAAGCCCTTCAACCTGCCAGCTTAATGGCTTGACCGGATTGGATTTTTCCCTCTTCTCGCTTAACAGTGAGAGGGTTGGAGGATTGAAAAAAATACATTATAAAATTGACTAAATTGAAATCTAATATAAATTTGGAAGACCAAATGTCACGTTTACTTATTATGTGGGATATATATATATATATATATATTTCATTTACTCACATATATAGCATAATTAACATATCATATTGATTTAGTAAACTAATAATACAACTTAATAACACATGATGAGCAAATATGCAATATATATACGTACGTGTGCATGCATATGTATGTAAAATAAGAGTGATTATTGATGCTAAATTGGTCGTCATTTTGAAGAATGCAGGCATTATATTTAGAGTGGTTTTGATGTGCTCGGATGAGGAAGTTGAATTTCATCTCATCATCCCTTGATTTGCTTAAAAAAAATATTTTCTCCTATTTTTATCTCGTATTATATGATCAGTGCTACTTAGAGTTTATGATGGTTTAATTAAATGATTTGTTGATTTAATCAGTGGATTTTGTTGCCTCAGATTTTAATTTTAAAGTTGATCAAGGATTGCAATAAATTGATATTTCTTATGATAAGATGTTTAAAATAAGTAACATCCCCTAAAGTAAAACTTGGATGAAGTAATTAAAATATATCATTTCACTTATAGCCGTGTTTACCCTCTAGAAGAAGATTAATTATACTTTTTGTTAACCTTCTGAAGAGCCCAAAATGGATTAATTGACAAAATGTATTAATTGATATTCATGTATTAATACAATGGATTAATTGATACTATTAGTAAAAATGGATTAAATCATTTGCTAATGTCAATATGGAAAATCCATAGTGGTACATATTACCAGAACATAATATTGTAATAATTATCCCTTTGTTTGAAAATATTTGTCATCAAAATTAATGCGAACAAATATTAAACAAATGTTTTAAATAGCCTAGATTTTCTTTTTATATATGAAAGATGTTGATAGATTTTTTGGTGGGAGGATGTTGACAAAATTTCATTTATGCCTTGAAAACTTGATAGAGATAGTGATAATTGAATTTTTAAGATGTATTTCGAATGTGCTAGAGATGTATGCATAATAGAGATAAAGGAATTCTAAACGTAAATTTTCACTTTAAATCAATGATTCACTGGTTTTTACCAGTGTAAAAAATGTTCACTTTCCACATCTGTGGCTTTTACAATAGTTTTAAAACCGATGTGAAAAGTTAATTTTAACCGATGTGAAAAGTTGCATTATGTAGTAATGATGACTCACTGGTTAAATCTTGTCTAAATATTCTGTAGGAGTGTTTTGAGTGTTATGTAAAACTTTCATTTAAACAAAATCATTATTTTGTGTTAGAGAGCAAGGCCAAGGTCTCTAAGGGAACAATAATCTACTTCATCAGTACCATATTTCTTGATATAACCCATGCACTTTGTGAGTATTAATAGACACAAAATAATTAAGATTATATATTAATCGATCAATTATTGATACCATTCCTATGGATCAACTATAGAAATAGTAAAAATGATATTCTTAAGAACATTAAATGTATTGCAACAATTATTTCAGTAAATGCCCAATAATCTCCCTTGAATGATTTGATCTTGAGAATATCATTTGTGAACATTAAATGTATCGAAACTCATGAATTTGAAAAGATTCACTCATAAAATACATTTCTCGTTTTCTCTTTAATACAGTCTCTCTATTAGGGGGGATTTTATTCCATAAATAAATACGTGTAAGTGTATAAAACGACGTATCATCGCTGCCAAAAAAGCCCATACCAAGAATTAGAGAAAGTTCTTCAGCACAAAACATGGAGTTCCTCTCTATCCCTCTTTGCTTCATGCTCTTAGTTCCAAGGTTTGTCACATTATATTATATTTCATTTTCATTAATAGACCTATGATCTGTTCGTGAGATATCCTCCCTCCGGTCCCTATATATATATATAATATATTATAAGGTGCTTTTCAGAAAGATTTTTTGATTCTTAACATAAGGCACTTAGTGGGGGGTATTAATTTCATTTTTCTAATAGTATTAAAGGTTATTTTTTTAATCAACTGTACCCAAATGATCACTAAAGATTGTAAACTCAACTAGAGATCAATTATGTATTTAATGTTAAAAAATTTTCTGATTCATTAGTTTAACATTAAAAACACTTAACGTCTATTAATTATCAATAGGTCCTATTATTTTTATATTTTTTATTAGGTTAATAGTTATTTTTGTCTCTAAATTTTTATTGAAAGTTTAGTGCTCACCCTCAAGTCAAATATTTTATAATAAAAATATATTAAAGAAAATGTAATGGGAGGCCTGCTAATGGTAAGAAAACAACAAGATGATAAGAGATGGAATCTTTAAAGTTGGGGAATAGAATTGACTTGTAGTTGAATTTAGGTCCCTAATGACCTTTCAAGTAAAGTTGAAATGCAAAAATAACCTTTAACCCTCTTTAATATTATCCTTATTTAAACTCATCAATTCTTTGAGAGAAATAATTTAAATTTGAAAATTTCTCTTTTAAATAGATATAAAATTGAAAGTTTATTTTATTTTTAGAAAAAACCTAATAATTTAATAGCATATTCTTAATTCTAGTGAGATAGTTTGAGGCATCTTATGATAAAGATAAGAGTGAGTATAAATGAAAGAAATTACTTTAAAGGAGGTGTCGTTTTATTATATTGTTGGTGACAATGATTTGACTAATAAAAGGATTTAATGTTGACTTTTCAGTGTGTTTTCACAAAATGCTTTGACACCACCAAGGGGTTGGAATTCCTATACTTCCTACAGTTGGACAATTTCTCAATGGCAATTTGCGGAGAATGCTATTGAACTTTCCCGCCGTCTCCTTGATAGCGGATATGAGGTATAGTGAATTTGTGTAATTTGCATCTCTTTATATGTATATATATGTATGTATATATTCCTTCTGAATTATAATATAGAGTATTGATAACTGATTCATGATTCTCAAAAGCATTAGTTAAAATCTAAATTTTTCTTCAAATATTTACATTTTTTCAATTATATTCTCATTAATTAAATATCCTATATAGTACATTAATGATGACAATTAAAATTTCAATACATCAATTTTTTCAAAAAAGAATAATAGATGAAGTAGGGGCATAGTTGAAGAATAAATTATAAAAATTATTCGATGCGCTATATTTAGGACTATGTAAGTCTTTTAGAAGATGCCAGTCAAGAGAGAGCATATAAGTTTAAATGAGTTAGGTCAACAGGGAGAATATGCCTCTATTCTTAAAAACACTTAGAGGTACTTACAGAGATTGCTCACCAATAAGATTTTAACATGGACAGTGGACTTGAATCTATAACCTGTGGGTTATAAGTCAAATCTTTACTAACTGAATCATCCTATGTTTATTGTATAATTTGTAACACTTATTCTAGGTAAAAATACATATAAACCAAATCATCAATTGGAGAAAAGTATATAAGATTGACTGGACATTAATTCACAAAAAGTTACCTTATTCCAAATTTCCAATGTCACGAATTTATTTTTCCTTTTCTTTTATTGTTAATGTCTCGATATTTTATTTTAATATGAAAACTACAGTCACTAATAAGTGGTGATGTAATTTAAAAAATACCATTTGAAATGAAGATGAAGTATGCAAATTACATTAAAAAAATCCTTTTAAAAAGCGAATTTGATATATGAAAAATTAAATTTTTAGTCGTCTATAAAATATCACTTATGCAGTTTTATATTTTTAAAATTTATAACTATTTATTTTATTTTAAATAACTTATTATTTGATTATTTATTATTATAAAAATTTTTTCAATATTTTATCAGACAAATGGATATTTTTTTTGTAATAATTCACTATTTTTGTTGCATAAACCATACATTTTCTGGAGTATTAAAAAATGTATATTTCTTTTTTTTTAAAAAAATTAAGCTTTACAAATACTGAAAAACTTCAAAAAAATAAATTGAATACAAATTATTTATTGATTTTTTCTTAATATTCTACTTTTTTTTATACTCCTTAACGTCATTAATTAATTTTATTATTATTTCATTAAACTCTTTAATTATTATTTGCAGTATGCTGTAGTGGATGGGTTATTGGTTTAGAAGTCTTGATGGAATTGATTCCATTGATGAATGGGGAAGAGTGATCCCCATCTAGACAGATGGCCTTCTTCTGATGCTGCAAAAGGCTTCAAAGCAGTTTCTGATGCAGTTCATGAGTTGGGTTTAAAATTTGGGATTCAAGTCGTTGCAGGGATACACAAACTTGCTGTGGATAGAAACAAACAGATTTTGGATACAAAAACGGTATATACTCTCTCGATCCTTATTACAGGACAACTTCTAGAAGGATTTTTTTTAATTATTTTTTATTAATAAAAGACATTTGATGGGATGTTAATTACATTTTAATTTCAATATAACCTCTATTTAAACTAATTAATTATAAGAGAAAAATATAATGCAAATTTGAAAAAAAATCATTTAAATTAAATTGGGAAAAATTGAAAGTTTATTATATTTTCAAACAAGGTTAATAATTTAATCACATCTCTTGAGTTTTGGTGAGATAGTTAGCTAGAGGTTATTGATAATAGGAATTGGAGGCAGATTCTTGATAACTTCTTCTTACTCACTAAAATGATTATATATATAAAACTTCCATGGCAAAACTAAACTTTAACTTAAATAAAAGTTGAAATATTTTCAAAAAAAAAAGTTGAAATAATATAGCGCTCAAGTGTACACATTAGCTTGTTTTTTTTTTAAATAAGAAAAAATTATATATAATTCAAGGATCTGGCAAGAAACTTATTTGCAAAAAACAATCAGTATGAAATGAATTAATGTTAAAATGTAAACGTGGACTGTTTTTTTTAAACGGAACTTGTTACTAGTCCTTGTCTATGAATAATTTTTTTACCAGGTCATTAGATATGATTCTCTCTATATATAATTAGCATTATATACTTAATATGCTTATTTTAAATTAAATTAAAATATGTAAATTTTTAATAAATTATTTATTCTATAATAAACTCTTGTTAATAATATTATTAATATATTAAAATTTACTTGTCTTAATTTGATTAGATAAAAATATATTAAGTATATAAGGCTAACTACCTAAACCTTGCCTTTTTTGTTTTTTTTTTTACCATGGCAAAGTTGGTGAGTTTATTTATTGATGTTTAAATAGGGATTTGGATTTGGTGAATGACTTGAGTCTATCCACTCAATGAGTGATTTACATGGCATGATAATAATTTTTTAATTTAATCAAATGAGTATAAAATATTTGTCATATAATACTTAAAAATAACTAAATCTCAAGTTTTTTGAAGGGATAGTGTACATGAAGAGTGTTTTGATTATGGGGATTGTTTTGAATTCTTAAAAAGAAATGTATTTTGATAATTTTTAATATCTACAATTATGAGTTTTTTTTTTCTTTTTTGGGTTAGGGAGGTGCTTATCAGGAAAATGGGCGCGTGTTGCATGCAAATGACATATTGACAGGCACTGCATGTAGCTATTCACCTAATTTCTTGGTTGTGGATTCAACTTCCAATGGTGGAAAAGCCTTTTTGAGATCTGTCTATGAGCAGTGTGCTTCATGGGGAGTTGATTTTGGTATGTGTATACTCACATTATTCTTTAACTGTATTACAAGCTTTTTAGTTAAGTTGTCAAAGTATGTGTGACTGGACTTAAATTGATGTGTGAAGTCTTATATAAGATAAAATTGAGTTTAATAACTAATATATGAAATAAAGAGGAATGACTCATAAACTTGGATGCCGAGATTTTGAATTAAGATATGGTGCCTTTTCACTGCTCTCTGTCCATTTGTCCTCTCTCTTGTTTCTAAGTTATCCCTCTCCATTCAGAACTTTTAAATATATATGATTATGATAAACAATACATAGTGAAAGAATGACAAAGAGGTCTCAAAAAGACTAATTAATTTAAGTTAGGTCTCAAGTGTCAAACGTCAGAAATTTATACCTCAAGTTCTTAATTTTGCAACTATGTTGTGATAGATTTATAACTTATTTTTTAATTTTAACATGATTAAAGAATAAAAAATTTATTTTTCTTATTAAAATTTAAAATATAAAGTTATAAATTTATCACAACAGAGTTGTAAAATTAAGAAATTGAGTTATAAATGCATGAAATTTGGCACTTGAGACCTATCTTAAACTAATTGGTCCTTTTGCAACTTTTCTATCATTCTCCCATAAATAATCCATACCTATATATATATATATATATATATAAATCTAAATCTAAATGCATTATAAAACATGTAAAAATTTACATTATTCACAAATCATGAATAACAATACTCCTTTTGATCCCTTATATAGAGTGATGTTTCAGATATTTTTCATGCAAATTAAGAAAAGTTGTATGATTACTTTTTGTTTTGGTGAATAGTTGTAAGATTACTTTATTTATTAAAAAGCTTACCAATATTTTGGTTATACCCTTCTTACAGATCAAAACGATAGAGCCTTTGATTATGCAACCTAGTATAGTGCCTTGGCTCAAGTTACAATAAAACTAACAAAATTATAGAAATAAAAATAAAATATCATTTAATATAGGAAAAATTAATTTACAAGTTCTTGTAATTTTGCACGATTTTAAATTAATTTCCTGTAATTTATTTTGGTTTAATAAAACTCTTATAATTTGATTCATTAAACATACATACACACACACACACACACATATATATATGTTAAACCTTGATTGTTAAAATTATACAATTTTCTCTTTTAAAAAATGAAATTAATGACTTCTATATGCTCATTAAAAATTATATAATTTTAGAATTAATTTCACAATTTATATAATTTAAAATTTATATAATTAAGTTATATTTTCCGAATAAGTTTTATTTATATAAAATTTTCATAAAAATTAATAAAAATGTAAGTATCATATTAAATCAATTTTTTTTGCCTAAAAATATTAAATAAATTTTCTATAAATTTTAAAAGTATTTATTTCATTCACTAATAATTTTAACTTTCAAAGACTAATATATTTAATCGATCAAACTATAAATGCTTAATTAAAATAAAATAAAATGCAAGAACCTAATTCAAAATTAAGGAAAATTAGAGGGACCTGCAGATTAATTTTCCCTTTAATATCTTCTAACTAGACACATTATAATTTGCTCCCTATTTTATTTTTGGAAGACATCTTATATTACTCTTACTGTTAACTTCATAAGACATGTATTGAGCTCTTTGTTACTTTTTTTTTCCCTTTTTCCAGTAAAGCTTGATTGTGTGTTTGGTGATCACTTGAACATGGGTGAAATACGTACTGTATCAGAGGTATGCTAATTAAATTCTTCTCTTGCTCTCTGCATTATTGTTGTATTAATCCCAAGCTTCATATATAATTTTCTCCAAAAATAAAAAATAAAAATAACCTAATTAAGATGTGGCATTGTTTGCAGATTTTGCAAGGGTTAAACAGAAAGATAATATTTTCTGTGTCTCCTGGAGTCGCTGCAACACCAGAAATGGGTAGGCAGGCCAGTGAAATGGTTAACATGTACCGTGTAACTCCCAATAACTGGGATCAATGGCAAATTTTGGTGAATCATTTTGAAGTGGCAAGGTAATTTAATTTAAAGAAACAATTAAATACTTAATATGATTGTTTTTTTATTAAATTAAGACATGTGGATCATTTATATATTATTTATTCTATAATAAACTCTTGCTACTATATTAAAATTCATTTGTTTTTTTGATTGAATAAAGATATATTAAGTATATAACACTAAGTAGCTAAGTCCTACCATTAATTTAATTAATTAGTAACATTCCCTCCTATCCATTCCTTGTTATAAAACATATTTTGGTAAAATTGTATTCTCTCAAATCTCTATCATAAAGCAACTTTAATTACTTCACCAGAATTAAGAAAAAAAAATGGTTAAGCTATTAACTTTATCTAAAAATAAAATAAACTTTCAATTTCATCCTATTTCATTACATTCTCTCTCATAGTTAATAAATTTAAATAGAAATAATATTAAAAAAGCATAAATATCTTATTAAGTGAATATATTAAGAATCAAATAATCCTTCAAGGAGTCTATTATCCTATTACAGAGACTAGAGGGAGTAAATACCAATGAAGTCTATTAAATGCATTTTGAGATCTTAATTTTTCTACAAACATTTAGAAATAACCTTCATTTAATAAGGGGGAGATCAGATATATATATATATATATATATTATAGATAAGAAGAATAAGGAGGGTAATTTTTGGGTAAGGTCATTAATGAATATAATGATGATTATTTTTCTCAAAACGTCTTAATTATATGATGAATAAATGAAAGATTGGAAAGTGTGATATGCTTCTTGAGTTTATTAACCAACAATTGTATGTCTTATTTTTTCATTAGATCACTGTGACTTCATCTCAGTTAATTCTCTTTCATCAGGAATTTCGCTCAGTCTAGGTTGTTGGGAACTGCTGGTTTAAATGGAAACGCGTGGCCTGATTTGGATATTTTACCATTTGGTTGGCTTACTGACCCAGGTAAATATATATATATATATATATATAAAATTTGAAGTGGATCTTTTAAATTAAAATGTGTTTTGCCTGAAGTTAAAAAGAGACATATAGAATCGAGGGAGGGACACTTAGTTAAACTAGTTAAGAGAATTAAAATACAGTCCCATTAAATAAAAAAATGACAATAAAATCTCAAAACTAAGAATTTGTTGGTCCCTGATAAGTTTTTTTTTATAAAAATAAGTTATAAATATTGATCTAAAAAGTTACAAACAGGAATTTCAATTACAAATTGAGAGTTATATTTAAAATTTAAATGTCTTATTTATAATTAGAACTCTTGAATTTATGATTATCTGAATAAATATTTACAACTAATTTTTCAGAAAATTTTGTAAGGGACTTAAGTGCAATAAACTCGTTGTTTTAGGATTTTAATGACTTTATTCCTTAAATAAATATGTCAAAGGTATCCTCAAAATACTATGAGATTATTGTTGGTAATAATAGTCATATAGAATAATTAGTTTAGATAGGAGATGACTCAAGCTTTTCAAAATATCGAACAATGGATTAAAAAAGAGATATAGATTAAAAACAATGGCCACACTTATGTGAGATTCACACCCGAGTCACTCTTTAGTTCCTATCCCACTCTTCAAGTGCAATACACTTCCTCGTTGGATTCACAACCTGAGAGTTCTTATGTATTGCTAATTTTTGGGAAAACAACAATGAAGTTCTAAAATTTAGAATATATAACAGTCAAGTCATCAATATTTTTTTTAAAAAATAAGTTACAAATATTTATTCAAATAATTACAAGCAAAAATCTTAACTGCAAACTAAAAGTTATATGTTTAAAATTTAATTGCTTTATTTTCTGTTAGAATTCTCAAATTTATGACTATTTGAATCAATATTTATAATTGATTTTTGAAAAAATTTATTAGGAACCTAACTGTTATAAATTTATTATTTTGGAACTTTAATTTCATTCTCCCAAATGTTTTTCTATTTATATATACGTGTGTGTATATATATATATATTCTCATATTGACTTTTATGTAACAACAAAAAAATTGATAGATGTTTAAAATTTAATAACGTGAAATGATATATATATATATATATATATATGAGTGATTGTTCAGTTTTCACGAAACTTGTTTCTTTTCTTCTCTTTTTTTACCCTTCAACTTTTGGTCTAAATTTTGTAGTGTCATTTTTTTTCTCAACTTTATCTATAATTAATCATGCTCATAGAAAAGAGAGACAGCCCCACACTTATTACCTATATACTTGGAATTGGAAACCGCAACCTCCTATTTTAAAAGTGTTTTGTTGCCAATAGGAAGTTTACGCCCACAAAATGTTATGATATTTGCAGGGGAAAAAAATTAAAATTTTGATACAAAATCCTATCTTCTTTTAAATCAACGAATTATTCCTCATATCTTATTTATAGGGTAGAGATAGAAGATTAATTTTGGTTTTGTTTTATAGGGAACTTCATTAATTTTATACTCCTCTTTACTATTTTTGCTTTTATTAAATGCTAAAACAATATTAAAAATAAATTTCTTGTCCTTATCAGAGGGTACCTAGGAGTGAAAACTTATTAACTTCTTTAAAAATTTATAACATTTAAGATTTCCTTGATTTTGATAAAATATGCTGAAGGTAATTTATAAATAACATCAGTGAAGTAATTCCAAAGGGTTGATCACTAGATGGGTTGTCCTCGATTTTCTTTTTCGCGCTCCAATAATTTGGACTTTTGTCCAATAATATAAATACCATTAAGCAGTTTGAATTCTGAATAACATAAAAAGGGAGAATCATATCCAAGGATCTTAGAAGATAATTATTCATAGACAAAGACCATTGCGGAATGAATTGATATTAAAATGGAAAATGGACTTGTTTTTTCTTGTATGAGATTATTATTTTTCTTTGTCTGTGAATAATTTTTTTATTAGATCCTTGAATGTGATTATTTCAAAATAATATCACCTTTCGATTTTTTTTCCCTGCTATCTTTTTGAGTTTTCGTGTAGATGTCAAGGAAGGTCCACACGGAGAATCTAATAATTTCTTTTGTTTTTTTAATATATGTGTAGATTCGACTGAAGGTCCACACAGGAAATCCAAACTCACAATGACAGAGCAAGAAACTGAGGTCTTGTCCACAACCTATATATATGTGTGAGCAAAAATGAATTTATTATGAATTATTTATGATTGAATAACATATTCTTATTTTACTTTCACAGATGACTTTGTGGAGTATGGCAAAATCTCCTCTTATGTTTGGTGGAGACATGAAGAAACTTGATTTCAAGACACAACAACTTCTCTCAAATCCTACCCTCCTTGAGATTAACTCTTATAGTGTAGGCAATAAGGAGGTATGTGAAGTATGATCATTTTTATGTGTCACTTTTAACATATTTTATCAAAATAAAAAACAAACATTAAACTTTATTTATTAATTCTGTCTAAAAATTCAACAAATTTCCAACTTTCCCCAATACAATATACAAACTTTAAAAATAATATATTCTAGCATTTAATAAGGGTAAAAAATAAATATGAACATAATAATCATTGAGGAGTCCTATAAATATAACCAAAATAAATATTATGTCTCCATCCAATAAATAGGACTAGAAGGCAGAGGAATACGTTCATGCAATAACATTAACTACTTCTAAATTTTTAAAACTACTGTTTTTGTTTAAAAAAAGTTATAAATCCCAATGCAATCTTAACCCTTGGGTTTTCTTTTCCCTTGAAAGAATGAAGGTTTAACTTGGAACTTGAGACACAGAAATTATGTGAAAGAAAAATGAATATAATTCATTTTTAGATATATTTAGTTATATTTCATCAAATATTTTTGTTATTCTGGCAGATTCCGAATTCTTTTGGCCCTGGAATTCGAACTTGGTTGGCAAGGGGAAGAAAAGGTACGATTCACGATTATGGTATTCAAATTTGACAATTCAAAGAAGAATAAATTATTCAATTAGTCTTTGAACTTTATTTGAAATAATTACACACAAAACGGATTGAACCAAAAAAGTGTGCAAATTGGCCTTAAACTATAGGTTCAAAAGTGTAGCATTTAGATCTCTAAATTCATTTTTGATGTAATGTCTTCCTTTAACTTTTGAAAATGATCCAATTTAATTTCTACCATTAATAAAAGTTAACTTTGATGATTAGTTGACCAAAAATGATGAAAAATGATCTTAAAAATTACATAAAAGAATCAATAAAAATTTCTTAGTCTTTTTTTGTAATTTTTTGGTCATTATCTGTAACTTTTTGAACATTTTCTGTAATTTTAATGTTTTTTGTGTCATTTTATGGTCAACTAACAGTCAGAGTTAACTTTTGTTAATGGTAGAAGTTATATTGCATAGTTTTCAAAAGTTGAAAATGATTATTGCACCAAAAATAAGTTTAGAATTTCAGACATTCCTGAACTTATAGTTTAGAGATCAATTTGCTCTTTTATCCCAAAAAGAATGAAAAAGAAGCTAATCTGAGTTTAGCCTAAATGGTGAGGACTGGTGTGGTGGTTGTCACATTTGTGATATGTAGTGTTAATTGAATTTTATCATACTTATTATGAGAGGATGTTATTTTAGTTCAATTTTATTTTTATTTCTTTAATACATTTTATTCTTACGCTTTCTAACAATCACACAGTTTCAAAGAGCTTTTGTATCTCTTAAAAATTATGCTCTGCATATTAGAAGTGTTGCCTAATTTTTGTATCCATCTCTCTCGAGCTCCTTATTTTACCTAAAGTCACTTCATGGAATCCAAATTCTTTACACTTGAACATATCTATTATTTAGGCTGATAAAGGTAAATACAAATTTTTTGTTTATTAATCTTTTAATTATTAGTCATCCTTATTCCAATTTCTTACGGCGGATATTTTTGCTTCATATTTGCCTTAATAGCCTATCCCTACCCTATAATATGTTTAAAAATATAAAATCAAAACATAGCAGGACAAGTCATGCCTGTGTGCCTCCATAATCAATAAGGTTCTAATATTCGTCATCTTAATTAATCTTATTATCTCTTTTAATTAATAACTTAGGGGAGATATATGTTGGCACAGTAGAAGATTTACCTGACATGTCCCATCTCATAATCAATAAGGGTTTGGGAAATTTCACCCTATATATATGTGTGTGTGTGTGTGTTAAGAAATGTCTGAAATCCTAATTTTTTTTGTGACGCAATGTTCTCATTCAATTTTTATAAAGGATGCAATATTGTCTCATCCATTATAAAATTTAACTTTGACAATTAGCTTACAGGAAAAAAATACAGAAAAGCTTCCAAAATTTCTTGGTCATTTTTTATTATTTTTGAGATCTTTTTTGGTAATTTTCTTGTTAACAAACAGTTAAAGTTTATATTTGTTAGTGGTAGATAGAGGAAATATTTCATTATTTTTGAAAGTTGAAGAAGAACATTGTATAAAAAATGAGTTTAGAGTCCTAGATATTCTAAACACTATATAATTTAGTGCCAAATTTTCCATTATATCCAACCTATCAATCAATGTCCTCATATATTCATCATCTTAATTAACCTTATTTTTATGTTTTTCTTAATTACTTAGGGGAGATATATGTTGCAATTTTCAATCTAAATGAGAAGGTGGCGAATACAAAGATGGATATATCATACATAAGAGAAATGCTTCCTGTGAAGGGGAATTTCAGCACTTGCACCGGCAGTGATTTGTGGAGTCCAGTTAATGAAGTAGCAAATGGAACATTATTAGCAAATGTTGAAGCACATGCATGTGCACTATTTACCCTCACCTGTCAATGACTTGATTAATTTCTTTAATTATATCTTGATGTTGACTGAATAAATTTAAATATTAATTATGAGAATTAGAAAAATATACTGTTTGAATTTTATTGAAAGTGTTTATTATATGAACAGCTAAAAATAATACAGTAGCAACATCAGAACAAAAGTCTTATCTCATTTAGTGGGATCGCACAAGGATCCCACAATACCATTATATACTCTATGGAACACCAATTCGACAGTTAAGAATAATAAAATAAAGAAATACTCCAACTTTAAATTTGTAGAATAATATTTTTCTTATATAATAAGTGCTCTAGTGATTGATTTCTAATGTTTTAAATTGTATGATGTACTGGGTTTTTAAATTACATAAATATAATATATATTATAAAAATAAACTCTGCTAAAATTTGATGGTTATTTAAAACAATCATCAAATAATCAATGATTATTTGAAATAAGCGTCACATAAGTCTCTTTTTATTTGACAGTTATTGAAAACAACCGTCCCATGAGTCTTTTTTTTTAATAATGGTTAAATAATTGTCAAATAAAAGGTACACCTATGAATAACGGTTATATAGTATATAATGGTTATTTATAGAATAAAATAAGCGTCTGATATTTTTATTTTTATAGCAGTACTAATCCATTGTTTTAAATGATCGAAATTGAACGTTTGGGGGTGCTTGAATCCACTAAACATAAATCCATTGTTTTATAATGGTTAGTTATAGAGTAAAATAATCGTCAGATATTTTTATTTTTATAGCAGTATTTATCCATTGTTTTAAATGATCGAAATTGAACGTTTGGCGATGCTTGAAGCCACTAAACATAAATCTCTACTTGAAAAGTAGTTCTTATTAAATATATATAAAAAAATTAACGGTTAAATAATTGCTTGACTCTTAAGCGGCCATTGCCTGTGCCCTAACACTTCACCCTCTCATTCGCAATCACTTGACTCCTTGGAATCTTCATCTTCTGTGACCTTGAAGTTTAGGCAATAGTGTGCTCTTCAAACCATAACCGAAGGATCGCTCCCTCCTCAAAAGACAAGGGTTCGATGTGTGTTCTTTTACCGATGCTTTGACTTGTGGTTGTGAACATAAAATTTTCTATATGAAATCTTCTTCTGAAATTTTCACATGATTCTGATTAATTTGGGTTGAAATCGTTTTTTGGAATCCCAGATTTGGGTTATGATTTGATATATTTGTTTGAATCCTTTCTGTTGTTTACATGATTTGATCTGATTTTGTTTCAATCTGTTAAAATCAATTTAATCCTTTCACCTCAGTTCTCTGGTTTAAATGCGTTTGGTTGTTCAAATTTGTTTCTTCGATGTTTCAAGAAATCGAACATGGCTAAAATTAGGTCAACTGACAGTAAGATGTTTGGATCTAGCTTATGTTTGGATCTAGCTATTAACACAAGGTGAGATTGTACCATTTTGAAAAGCATTGAGGCGCAAAAAATGCTTGAGCATATCAATTGTGTTTGCATGTGGGGCAAATTAAATTTGTACATGAATCCATTTTAATTGTATAACATAACAAAAACTCTACTTATAAATGTGTACAGTGTGAATTTTCATGTGTACTATGTAGATGTGGAATAAAAAAGTGAATCCTTTTGAGTATAGGCTATACTTTTAGGTTATAACAAAAACAAATTATTTTAAATAAAGAAAAACATAATTATTGGTCCTTATAATTTCATTGGATTTTGTTTTTAACCCTTGTAATTTTTTTTTTCTCAGTATTTCTAATCCCTACGGTTTTAGAAGGATTGGGTGATATTTTTTTCATTAGGCCCTAACAATGTTAAATTACAGAGATCATAAGGACTAAAAACACCAAAAGCCAAATTATGTAGACTAAAAGCAAAACTTAATAAAATTATAGGGACCAATTATTATGTTTAACTAAAATAATGATTAATCGAGTTCAATGTAACTTCCAGATGTCGGGCCGTTTGATTGCAAAAATAGATATTTCTTTTTATTTGCACTTTATTTGAAAACTCGTAATTGATTTATTAATAGACAGTAGTGAATCACTGAATGACATGGAGAAGGTTAGAGCATGCGGAGGATCGTGGTGGGTTTAGGTACATAGAGATAATGATGAACGATATATTGTGGTTGAGATGTCGATATATATGGATGCCGATAATCAAATTTTGGAAATACTTGATAAATTTCATTCATGTTTTTCTGTTTTAACAATGTCAAACAACTATTTTTGTTCAAGCAGATTCAACTTTTCATGTTGAACACTATAAAATGTATTTGAATAAATACACTATAGGGTTAATGAGCAATAAATCTCCTAAATTATTACGCAAATAACATCTTAAACCCTAAATTCATGAAATGAGCAAAAACTTTTTTTAACTTTTAAATTTCTAGCATGTGACCCCTTGACATTAAATATAAGGAAACGACCGTTGTTTTTAGGTGGTAGGAGCCACTTCACTGACGTAGCACTCATTCTTACCTTAGTGTTGTTGACCTGTGCTTCTGAATAATCATTCTGGCTTTCTCACTCCCTCTCTGTTTCTTTTAATATCCTAGAAGTCATGAAAATTGAAGAACCAATTACAACCCTATGCAGAGGACATGACTACAACAAAAGGGCATCAAAACAGAATGCAACCAGATCCTAAATGGGATGATTCTTGACTGGGTGACTCATCTAGGTTAATGAGATGAAATGCCTCAAAATTTGCACTTCCCACATTGTGCTAGTAATTAGCACTCATGCATGAGCTCCTCCAGTCCTGATTCCATCTTCTAGACAGACCGTAAAACTCCACTCCAATCGACATGCACTACGTCGTCTTCAGAATCGACTTGACCCTTTTGCTTGGTTTCCTCTTTGCCATGAACCCAAGTTTTTGCCTATTGTAGAACATGATGGTCCAAACAGGTATTGATAAGAGCGAGCAAGATTCGAGTTTGGATTTGTCACACTTAAGGGCTATTCGAACCAACCTGAATTGCATTTCGCAAACCAATTGGTTTGCAAAGAAGGAAAGCTTGAGAAGCAAAATAGGTTTATAGTAGATAAATGATCATGCTAGACACATCGATTTTGAAGGTCGCACTAGGGAAGTTGGAAAATTGGAATCTTGATCTTAATTCTGAGTCAATTGGTCAAGAATTATGTCTCTAGATCATTTTGCTATTGTTTTCTCCCTCTTTCAAAGTGGAAATCATGCTTTGCAAATGCAAGATCTCTCATGGCATGCCAACTTGGCAAAATTTAGTCAAATCATCTTCTCTCTTATTTTATTTAACGGTCAACATTCCTCAACTTAACATTTGGGGATCAAGTGCTTTGAATTTGAAAATTGAGGAAAGCTTTTTCATATTTCATGAGTTTAGAGTTCAGAATGCTATTTCTACAATAGTTTAGAGGATATATTGCTCATTAACCTTACATTATACTCCTTTCGTTCAAAAATTTAAGGCATTTTTTGAAGAGTTGGATAATTAAAAATGTAAGGCATTTTTAATCTTTCGAGGTGTAATCATTATCTTTTTTTCCAAAAGTACCCCTATTGATAATGATTTTATATTTATTATAGAGTTAGTTGGAAAGCAGATAATTACTTTATTGGAGGGTGAGATTCGGTTAAAAATGCCTTACATTTTTGAGTGGAGGGAGTATTATATTGGAAACATTGTATAAAGTATAATTTTTTTCGTTTAGGAAACACAACAATAAGTCCTATACTATGACTGGATTTTGTTTGTATCTTAGTTTTATTTCTTTGTTTTCGGTGCTTTTAGTTTAATCAGTTTGTAGCATTAGTCTCCATAATAATTGTAAAAATGCATATAAAGACCACGAGCTAGTATTGACCAGGGTAATTTCACCATAACTCTACTAACCTTTTTTTTTTTGACATGGTAATAATATAATGATGACATGGAAATAAATTTAATTACTAGGTATGATTAAAAATGAAAGGTAAATATCTGAAAAAAATAAAAGGTAAATAGAAATAAAGTTTTCTTTTACATTTGGTTTAAACAGAAAGTAAGAGACAAACGCCAGATCCAGTATACGTCAGTAAAGGAGTTAACAGAAATAAATAGATGTCAACAAAATTAACTCCATAAATCAATACTAGCTCACGTCCTTATGTATATTTTTAAAACTACAACGACTAACGTTACAGAAGAATTAAACTAAAGGAAATGAAAACAATGAAATAAAACTATAAGAATTAAAAACAATATGCAATCAAAATACATAGACCTATTATTGTATTTGCCCTTTTGTTTATCTAAATAATGCCAATAAATTTAGAATTTGTGGATAGTTTACATATTTACACATCTGAATTTATTTAAAACAATGAACTTTGATCAAATGACATTTCCCTTTTCCTGATCTCCTGTATCTCTTAATTTATTATATGTGAGGGGATTCTATTCCATAAATAAATACAAAAAATAAGTATATAAAGATGCCATCATCCCTATCACAAATGCAGAAAAGAAGTAATTCTCCCAGGAAACATGATGTTTCTGTCACTCTCTATCTGCTTCCATCTCTTTCTCTTCATTCACAGGTATGTCATATGACTCTTACATGGACTTTTCCCACCTTATACAAATATTCTGTAAGTTTTAGAGTCTGAACATATCTCGGGTGACGATAAGGCTTCTCTTCAACCACATGGGAAACTGCGTCACAGTCACGAACCTCAGATAGTGTTTCACAATATATAAACCAAATTATAGGGATTCTCAATCGTCTATTAATGTAAACCACACCATTTATATTGTGATAGAAAAATGGGAGAATTCATCTAAGGATTCAAAAAAGAATTTATTCGCAAGCAAGGACAAACAAGAAGTCACCATTCAAAAAAAAAAAAATCTCTATTGCCAGTTTAACAACAAATAATTCTGTATTGATCTTTAGCTGTGAATAATTTTTTTGGGAGATTCTTGAATGTGATTCTCTCTAAAAAATCTTAGGCTGTTATGT